CTCGTTCTGGCGAGGCCACATTTTTTGAGACCTGAGACATGCCGACCCGTGGGAACGGCTCTGCGAGTTCACGCGGCATCACGCGGCACAGGTATTTCTGCGCAGCACTTTAGGTTGTGCGGGGGCCATTCCCCTGCCTGAGTGTGCAGTGGTGCAGGTGCAGCACAGCATGCCCTGAACTCGGATGAGCTCTGGGATGAGGCCACGTCATCAGAGCGCATGCCGGCAGACAGTTTCAATCGAACCATCAGCATGCAGCCAGGCCCGGCAGCGATCTGCAGATACTTCAGGCAGACTTCTGCATGCTAGTCAAGAGCATGGTCTTCAGCAGGGTTTTGGCTTTGACATGCGGCTGCAGGCAAGGCTGGTCAGCGACGGGCAGCTGTGCTGGAGGAGGATGCCGAAGTGCAAGAGCGTTCCACACAGCTTTGCCGAAAAGACTTGTCCATTCCTTCGCCCGTGGGCGATGGAAGGTCACCGGCCATGGCCAGTCACGGCACAGGGACGCCAGACATGACTATGCCTCCCAAAATCACGACAAGGGCAATCAACCCGTCACCAAAGAAGGAAGGATTAGACTTCTCACCTGGGAGCTCCCTGGGCAAGATGCCATCTCCACTCAATAGGAGGATTGTGAAGGGCAAGGGCAAAGCCAAACGTGTTCATCCAGAGGTAGGGCCTACTTTGAATGGTGGAGAAGCTAAGACAGGCCGTAAGATCTGCCAAGCCACGATTGTGTCCTGGGCGGTAAAGCAGCCTGTCGTGCAGTCCTCACCGCCGGCACATGAAGTTCCTGGTACGGCGCCAGTGCTTTCATCCTCTATGCAGCCTGACGCACCCGAAGCTGCGCCATTGCCAGAAGAAGCAACCCATGCAGCGCAAGACAACGAACCTGCCCTGTGCAGCCTGGCAGATTCAATGGCAGCGGCTTCGTTGGAACCAGAAGCACTAGATGCAGCAGTTGGCGAAACATCACCGCTGGAGAAATCTGGGGATGAAGCCCTGCCAAGCTTTGACTTAGCAATGACGCAGCACGCCTCAGATGCATCCCCTACGTCCGGCAGTCCTGTGAGTGGTGTCTCAGACTTCTATCCCGAGCTGAACAACGGCAGCCACACGCTTGAGCAGGCGGATGTGCTTGGATGCTATCTTTCCAGCTTGGTTGAACATATGTTGGGCATGCCAAATTAAGTCTGGCACCTGTCAGAGGCAGCTAAGTAGCTGAGTTTGCATTGCTTGCCTCCTGTTGCCTTCCTTCCCTGCAACTGTTTGTTGAGACACCATGCTGCTGATCTGCTGCACATGCCAGTCCCTTTCGTGCTTGCTGTTTGCAGTTTGAGGTGCCAGGGTGTCAGAATTCAGCATCTCCAGATTTTAAAGAGAGCTCCTGATGTGTTGGCCTTGCTTGCCTAGCTTTGAGAACACTGCCGCAGGGCTTCTGGACTTGGACCGCTACGCGGAAGCGCCTGAAGCGCAAAGCACCCGCTTCAGACTACGTGCAGCTGCGCAAAGCAACCGCAGAATGAAAGCAGTCGTCACGTGCCGAAGTGTTTTGACATGTGCTACTTCATACTTCACATGGAATTTGTAACGCAGCTGGGCAACTTGAGTCGACCCTATTGTTGGTGGCAGTCTCTCCAGTTTTAGTTTGATATCATGGCCATTAGGCAAGTGTCACTTAGTTATGCTGTTTTGCTTTGATGTGAATCCTTCTAGATCCTTCTCGCAGAACTGTCCCGCTAGTGGGCCAGCATTTGCTGGGTGCCTCGCGGTTGCACTTGGACTGGTTTGTAGACACGGCGGCCCAAGACCATTTCCACAACCTCTGTTCAATTCGCAGTGATTCCTGGCTGCATGTTGAAGGTTTTGGTCGTCTAATTGTTGTGGTATGTTGTAGGATTGTGGTTGTTTTGTAGGCTCTCCTGGCCTTGGCTCTGCTTGCGAGTCATGCGCTGACAAGCCGATTGAACATGCTGTGGCTTTGCTCTGAGAGATGGGTGTTAGGGGCAAAGGTTTTCTCACATCCGTGGCCCAATCAGGAAGCTTGATCATGGCAGACGCAGAGCAGACGATACGAGAGTTGATCAACTTCGGATTCACGGAGGACCGTGCGCGTGAAGTTTGGTGCTCAGCGAACGACTTGAGATATATCAGAGCTTCGCACCAAGGGCAGCTTCCGGACTTGCAACCCTTGTTCGCTGGTGTATGCCGTTCCTGTTCGTGTTTTCTTGATTCAGTCCTGCTTTGAAAGAATCTTGCATTGAGACTGTCTTGCTGATGAAGTCTGGGGCTCCCCGTCCCAAATTGGTCCACTGCAACATGAGAAGCTTCAGATCATTGAGGCTGTTGAGAATATCGGAGATGTCTCAGATGTTCAGCTTGCCATCAACTGGTTGCTCGACCACGGCACCACGGCTTTCACTTTTCGATATTTTTTTTGTGGTGCTAGTCTACTAGTAGCTGGTTTGTTCCGCCAAGCATTGCAAGTCTTATCAGAGTGGATGCCTAGGCCTAGGCCTGACTTTGACTTGATTCCAGGCAAGGGGACCCCTTCATTTCACAAGCTCATTCCTGTGTCAATCTTTGCTCCACTACAGCGTGCACACTTTATGCACTTTGAGCTTCCTGGCTGCTGCGTGAGCTGCTTGCTTTCAAGTGACGCGCAAAACTTGGATTGATCCGCCTAGGATGTACCTAGCTGGTTTGATGTTCGATCCGATGTCTGAAGGGCCTCCACACGTTAAGGTTTGTATCGCTGCCGGTGCATGGACTTGTTTCCGGTTGTATGCAGCAACTTAAACCTCAAGGGCACGATATCTCAAGCTGTCAACTATCAAAGATCATCAATTCAGGCTTAAAAAAAAGTTTAAGATATTTGGACAGATGAAGGGTAGGCTCTCGGAATCCCTAGCCTGGCGGCCTTGAGCGGATTTCTACGTGTCAGCATGTTGAAGCCCCACCGTGCGAACTTCAGGTGAGGAAGACAAGGGTGGAGCCGTTGAATTCAAGCACTGTCCTCACGTTAGTGCCTTGCCTGTGGGCACCCTCGTCAAGAAGGCCATAGAGGGGAGATGTGGAATCCAGTGGCTTACTTAAAGGTATGTGTTAGAAATACGTGGCAAGATAGATGGAACAATGCCGCAGGCAGGTGTCCATCTGCCAAGTCAGTGGTATACATAATCTAGCTGTTAGACATCCGGCCTTTGCGCCCTAATCCTTCCCCAGTTCCATAATGTTCAATACAGAATCACTTGGGGCCGTGTTCGGAATCGGGAATGTCGGGAATCCTTACAGCTGAGCGTCGAATTTGATGCTAGCGTAGTTTTCCTATGCTCATGGAAAAGTAGGGAGATTTGAAGTGGTAAAAGGCGCTTTTCAGGTAAAGAGTCGCGGGGGCTCATCTTTTTCGATCATTTTTCAGCAGATTTTCAAGAATGTGGCTGCGTCTGATACTTGGCACCTCCTCCCTGGCAGGCAGGCCTATCATTCGGCCATCCCTGTGCCAAGCGTTGCAAGGGATCTGAGCTTCTTGGTGGGACATGAGTACATGTTGGAAACTGATTAGCATGCTTGTGTAGGTTGCGCACACACACGGGGGAACGCGAATGTGCTGTGGGAGCATGCAGCCTAGTCCTACAAACAATCCATAAGGAATTGGGTGTGCCTGATGTGTGGCGTTACGCATTGTGGCCGCTACGTCAACAAGCATGCAGCTTGGATGCATTGGTTCCACCACTTTTCCTCCGTATGGATTTAGAGTACCTAGCCGCTTAGCCTTTCTCAGAGCATCTGGCTGAGGCTTTGCAGCATTGGCAGGAAACACGTGAAGCAGAGGGACGCGCTCTCACCGTAGGCTGGTCTGCGCACTACCACGAATGGGTCCTGTGGCACAGTCTAGCATGCTTCTGGCCCTTTAGATTTGTGACACTTGTACTTGCAAATGCTTGCAAGACTTGCAGACCCGAAGCTTATGGACCGGTGAAAGTCATACACGGCTTTTGTACAACTGATTCTCTTTTACTAGCAGAGGATTTTGTTGATTGCAGCGAGGTCACTGAGGACAGTTTGGATTCCGTTGCATTTCAACATCCATAGGGCCTGCCCAAGCACCATTGAGGTTGGAATACTGCAGGCTGGGCCCGGCTACGCAATTTTCTGTAGCTAGACAAAGTCGCAAAGTAAAGTTTTTTGATGGCGAAGTTTCTGAAGCTGAAGGCCAGGGGCTCTTAGTTCTGAATCATTCCAGGTCACTGCAAGTTGTTTCCTAGTTCTAGTTCTAAGCGGTCGGGCGATAGACCGTGCTGACAGATCCTGAGCGACGCTGCTTTTGGTGTTTTTAGGTGGTGAATTGCAATCTTTGAGTCTGTGTCCTGGCAGACGTGCACATGCAGGTGAGGCAGCTGCCGGCGTTTGCCGCCGAGGCTTCACCAGCTTTGGGTGCATATGGGCAGCCGTCTGCAATTCCGAACAGAGGTTGGAATGGAAGGTAGTGAAAGAATTCCAAGAGTAGGAATGCAAGGACAAGCAGCCAACTGAAAGTAATCAGTAAATGCCATCGTGCTCAGACACACAAGTAGCGGGACGCACAATTGCATGGCCAAAGCTGATGCAGCACTGTTATCTACCTGTATTTCCATACTTTGTGTTCTGTCTACCTTAAGTCTCTGACACGTGGTGGAACGGTTCAAAGGCGCGTTCCAGGGTCATTCCAGGTGGGCTCAGATTCTGGAGGCGCCGTGGAGTTGTTGAGACACTGCCCAAGTTGTCTTAATAATACAATACAATCCAAACAGGACAGTAACATGCAGCTCCTTGATTGTGAGGCCTGTAGTCGCAAGCAGCAAAGGCTGAGGTCTGGACGTTAAATGCCCACCATCACGTCTTGGCGCTCACAGATCAGCTCTTGGAATTTGGCAGGGTAAAGGCTCAAGGTTCATCCCGGCTCCTGTTTGGTGAGCCTTGCCATATCTTTCCATAGTTCGACTGCAATGACCCCTGCCATGTGGCTTTTCACATTTCTTGCTGGCATTGGCTGGTCTTACGGCGACTTAGCCTGGCAGTGGACCAGCCAGCAAGGCACGAGTAAATGGGATTATGCCACCGCCTTACAGCTGGATTCGCATGGCGACATCATCGTCGCCGGGGATGTGGCAGGCTCGTTTGGGAATGCCACCAACTCCGGCTCCAACGATGTGTTTTTGATGAAGTTCAACCAATCAGGAACTTGGCAATGGACCAGCCAGCGTGGTAGCAAGAAATCTGACAATGCCAGAGACCTTCAGATTGACCCAGCTGGTAACATTTTAGTGGCAGGCTACACAAGCAGTTCCTTGGATGGCAATGTTCATTGGGGCGGTGCAGATATCTTCGTCTCAAAGTATGACAAGGATGGATCCTGGCTGTGGACACGCCAGCGAGGCAGCAACGACTGGGATTATGGACGAGCGCTCCAACTCGATGACTCAGGCAGCATCTATATAGCTGGCTACACTGGCGGTTCCCTTGATGGCAACAAGAACTCTGGAGGCTACGACTTCTTTCTGATGAAGTTGAATTCTGTGGGATCTTGGATGTGGACTCAGCAGCGTGGCAGCAGCTTTTGGGATTATGCTCGAGCATTGCGAATTGACGCCGGAGGAAACATCTTGGTTGCCGGCTACACAAGAGGAGACCTTGATGGCAATGAGAATGCTGGTGGCAAAGACGTGTTCTTGTCCAAGTTTGGTGGTGATGGAGCTTGGCACTGGACGCGCCAGCAGGGGAGTGCCAGCGATGATGATGCCATGGACCTTGGCACCGATGCGGCGGGAAGCATTTTCATCACAGGTGAGACTTCTGGAGCTTTGGATGGGGAAAGCGCTGGAAGCTCCGATGTTTTCTTGATAAAGTTCGGCCACGATGGTGTCAGGGAGTGGACGCGCCAGCGAGGCACGGAGAAATTTGATGTGGCCTGGGCACTCGAATTGGACCTGCTGGGAAACATTCTCGTGGCAGGATACACTGGCGGCTCACTGGATGGTCATGTCAACGCTGGGAGTTCCGATGTCTTTGTGATGATGTTTGACTCGTCGGGCTCTTGGCAGTGGACTGAGCAGCGGGGAACTCTGCTTTGGGACTATGCACGGGCACTCAAAGTCAACGCTGCCGGGGATGTTTTTCTTGCTGGTTCAACGCAAGGGCAGCTTGACAATGGCCACTCCAGTGGTGGTGAAGACCTCTTTGTCATGAAGTTCAAGCGTTCGAATGACACGGGCTCATTCAATCCGCCAAGGCTGATTTGAAATTGTACCGGGCAGTGCCCACATGCAGGTGGGTGCGGCTTCTGGGTGGTACATTGGATAAGTATGGCGCTACGTCAGCCTCGCGCACAAGTCGCTTGGCATGGAATACCCAATTCAACGGCAATGGATGCAGAAGTTCATCTCCACTGCAGGTTGTAAAGATGCACAGCAGGACCTGCAAATCTGGGTCCCCTCGTGGTAAACGTTGCCATGACAAAAGTTCGAACTCTTGGGACATCGAAAGGTAGGTGTATGCATAGCAGCTTTCCGAGGGTAGTGTGCAAGCTCACAGCGGGCTGGAAGGTCATTTCCTGACCCTTGGCCTGATGGACCTGAGTGTGTGGTGCTACGAATGCGAATCCTACGTTGAACACGAGGCTGGGCGTTTCATTGGGTGAGCTGCAGCCTAAAGCCTGTTCTTCCCAGTGTTGATTATATGCAGCTCAGGAGGGAGCCATCCAAAAAGTCAAACTGTCCGTTGCCAAAGTGTCATTCTTTGACTTTTTTTGGTATTTTTTGAGGCATGCAAGCAGATAGCACATGCTACCTCCAAGAGGCTGTAAAGGCTATGCCAAGCAACTTGAGGTGCCCAACGATCCGACACTGGAAGTAACTCTTCATTCTGTGTTTGTTACCAGCCAACAGCCCTTTTGAATCTGTGGCTGCAAGCAAGGGTGCACCCTTTGTCGAACAGTTTGTGAATGCGCCGGGATTGGAAGAGTCCCCAAGTCAGCGCGCAATGCAAGGGTCAATGGGATCACAGCCCGTGGAGGTCTGCATGTAGGTGTATCAAGCATGGAAATTTATGCAAGGCTCTGCAGCCTTTGGTCACGCGAATGCAACGCTTGAAGTTCGGCGGCGAAGAGGAGGAGGAGAAAGCGCGCGGGTTGTATCAGATCATGTCAGATTTGTAAGGCATGTTGAAGGTGCATGTACAGGTGAACATTTCATCCCCCCCCCCCAAAAAAAAAAGCACTTTTTGCAGAGTGGAGTGGCTCCGCCTGAGTGTTGACCGATCGCGAAGGTAAGCCTGTGAATAAGCTCATGCAAGCCAGTCGATATTATGATGTTTTAGGGTAAGCCCAAACTCTGAATCCAGAACTATGCAATCGTGCATAGCATGCTGCCAGAACTTCATCTCGGCAACACGTAGGGATGACTGCATGACATAGGGATGAGCAGTTTGGGTTGAAGTTTGGGAAGATGAGAGCTATGATGCAGGATCCAAAGACATGAAAGACTTAAAGAGGGGTTTCAATAGGTTCCAGGCAGGAATGCCACAGGAGCTATGATAAAGCGATTCCTCAGAATCTGAGTTGGAGGTTCTTCAAACCCTTGCCCCCAGTAACATGTGTAGTCTTTGTTGTCTTTGGAGGCTCGACCTCGGAAGCGAGCACTAGCATTGTTTTCATGAATGCAACCCTAAACTTGCGGGTGCTTCGGGGGGGGGGGTGGGGTGTGGTGGGGGGCGGACTGAAATTCTAAAAAACGATCTGGATTTTTTGTTGGAACCACTTTGGTTGGCTGATAGTGTCGAACATAATTATGTAGCAGAGCCGAGCCACACAGAAAGCTCCTTCGCAGGGTAGGCCATATGGCCATAAGGTGCAGCACCCTTTGCAAGTAGACCTCTTTTTTTTAAGACAGCAAGCAGGGAACAAACGCACTTTCAGAAGTTTCGACTCAAATTGTGTCTAAGCACTTTTTTCTGTTGTTCTGGTCAGAGCTCATCAATCTAGCCTTGGAGGAGCCAGAGCCCGAGGTTGGCAGCGTCTTAGACGCTGACCCGCAGGCAGGCGGTTCGTTGAGTCACGGTCAAAGGTTTTGTCATGTAGGTTCATCGCCTTACAAGCGCCAGGAATGGAACTGCACTCTGCTGGGATGTGGGCCCGAACAAGAAGGGGTGGAAGCTTGCATAGTGGGCGATCCGGGGAGGATTGACTTAAAAGAGTTTGTGTGCCCCGCGAATGACAGAACGCTTGCACGTCTGAATATGAATGGCCAAAAGCGCAAAGTTCTAGGCTATATTGTACCTCAGCACTGAAGTTGAGACCGCGAGATCAGGCATGCAGCCACGATGCTTTTTCACGTGGACTGAATTTGCTAACTCGCTAGACTAGTGACTAGGCCTGACAGTCTACATGGCATCCTGAATCCACCGTCTACTGTCCTGCCGCTTCAAACTGGTCAACGTGAAGCGGAAAAATCAACCAAATCCAAAAGTCAACTTCGAACAGTCGGCGCACGGCTTCCTGGGTGATCCCTCCTGGCCTCTACCGCGCCTGGCAAGTGCTTGCGGTGAGGCACGGCGCTTGCAGAGTCCTTCTTGGGGTTCGGCCGGGTAGCTTCAAATCATTGTTCACATGAGGCCCACGTTCCTTTCCGTAGGCCCACCCAGATTCAGACATCATAGGCCGAACAGGTCACCGCTTGTCTGTTTGCATGTTCTGCCGAATGCCGTCCTGACTTGTTCGCAGGAGGCCCGGCCTGGATACAAGACCATGAAGGCGGGCGCAGGGAGCCATGTTCATCATCCTGTGTAATGTCTGATATCTTCTGAATCAAAACTTGTTGCTTCAGCAGTTGTTGCTAGCTGTTGAATTCTCGCGGAGAGTGTTGCATATTGGAATTGCGGCTTTGGAGGCACACGAGTATTTGGATGAGCCGGCTGTCCTGAAAGCAAAAGTGCGGCTCGATCGGACACCATCAGGGACCTTTAGCTCGACACCTTGCGGCCCTGCCAGGGTGTGGCTTGCGAATTTTTTTGGCTTTTGCTGTGCTGGATTTGTTCCAGACCTTAATTTCTGCTATCTAAGGCAGCTACTGGCTGACCTCATAGTCCGAAGCCAGAACTGTATTGCATACACAGGGGCAGGCACCTTTGCCTGCACAGTTTGGGCTTGCAAGTGCTCGGAGTGTGGTCACACGCTTAGGTGCGTCTTTGCATTTTCGCTTTCCGTGGGTGTACTCAGGCATCAGCACAGCTTCTGGCATCAAAGACTATGCAACGAAGGCCCTGTAGCATGGCTAAATGTGCAACATGGCATGCAGTACCGTTGGCTATGGACGCCATCTATTTGTTGTCCGTAAAGTTGAGCCATCGTTTGGCATCTTTTAAGTTCTTTCTGCTGCTCGAGTCATGTGTTGTGTCGTCTTGGTGGATGTTAACCAACCCTGCTGCGTGCGGGCAAATATGAAGCTGGGAAATTTCGAGTGGTCGAATGCTGCAGGCCAGCTCTTCATCCTCTTCCTCCGCTGCAAGATCACCCTGGCTTGCGGAACCAAGCCCCCCAGCAAGGTAAACTTTTGGTTGTGATGCCATGACACGTTGTACCTGTCGAATGGTCATTGATTAAGTCAGCATTTCTGTGCACTCTTTTTCAGCCTAAACTTTATAAGCAGAGTTGGCGTTCAGCTAGAACGCCACCAGATCCTCACAGCCGCCTGAAAGTCCAGGTTATGCTCACCATGTCCTTGTCGCGCTCTGGAAGAGTGGTCTCCCAGCAGAAATTTCCTCCCTTGCTGGTCACGTAGCCGGGTGCTCGAACGTCGGCAGTACAGACGCTCTTGCCAGGAAACCTGAAGCACTGGGTCCAGCAGAACCATGATGGCCTACCACAGAAGGCAGGCTTCCCGCAGAAGGACTGCTGCTTGCTTCCGTATTCTTGCTTTGTTCAAGTTGTGTCGAGTTGTGGTCGGGACGGGCTCTTCATGGAGAGGACATCAACGAGATTCACGGTGCTTGGTGGGACCCCTCCAATCCAGCTTGATCCTCAGAAGCTTGTGGAGGGCAGTGATTCAGCAGCCTATGCAAGCTTGACTGAGGTTGTGCCCATGGATGGAACACTCCGGTCAGATCTGATTCAGTGGATGCTGGAAGCCTATCTGCATTGTGCTATGCCAGGTGTCCCTTTTGCACCTTTTGCAGTCTCTTGGCCAAAGCAGAACAAGCTAGCTTTTAGTCGGATACAGTCCTGCATATGTCCTGCATTTCCTTGGGAGGCACCAGGGACGACTGTACCATTGTTATGGTTTAGACCATTCTCACGCGGCCTCAGAGGACTGGGAGAGCCAAGCAGACCTCTGCTTGGCCCTGGGGACTTCCATGGCCCCTTGACTTCCCCTTGATTGATGCAGGGGCTTCATTCATCAGAGTTGCGGGGTAAATGCAGCACCCACAGGGTTTGAGGGTCATCGCGTTTTGCGGAGGGCAAAATGTGGTCAAGTGCGACGTTGGAACTTGGGCATCCTGGTGTAACGGAGGTACAAGGAGGTCACAGGGTGGCGTGCGAATGCGCGTGCGACATCTATGGACAGACCGCATGCACTGGAAATTTGGGCAGGTCTTCCTGGGCTCCGTTTTCCCAAAGAATCAAAAACCACGCCCCAACCCTGCTTCCTTGATGAGGTGGGCATGAACGCAGATCGCATGGCCGTGGCCCCTGCCAAACGCGCGCAGCGACTGCCCAAAGACCAGGTGGATCCTCTGGTAGTCATAATTTCAGACTGGGGTGCCCTTTTCGCGACACTGAAGGTTTTGAAGGCTACCCGATTGTCACCCGAATGGGTTTTAAGAGGAACCCTACAGCCGGGTTCGGATGAATTGCGCAAGAGTGTCTGGCGTCAATAAGGAGATCTCTGCTTAAACAAAAGCTTTTTTGGTTTTTTGCTTCGGAGCCAGGCTCGGAAGCCTAGTGCACATTTCTTGCTTTCTTCAACTTTGACTTTGGGCCGCAGCCGCCAGGCGCTGGGAACCGTCATCGTGGCCCTTCAGCAGACGCAGTACCTCAGCAGATCTCAGCGACATCCACTCCGCTCGGAACCCGCAAATCCTTTCAGATGTATTGCGCAATTCAAGCCATCAGAGCCAGCCACACGAGAAATATTTGCCGGTAGCACATTTGTGCCTTTTTTCCGTATTGATCGTCCCAAATGCACGGAATGTGCTAGCCTGGCTAGGCTGGCTGGCACCTGACCAGGTATGACCAGATCTCGTCTTTGAGGATCTTTGCGCGGTTGGACGACGTCCTCAGGGAATTAGAGCCACAGCGGCAGCAAGCTGTGTGCGTGCGTGTGTGGCGTTCACGTTGTGGTGCAGAACTCCTGACAAGAGACCTGAAGCACAAGCGGTTTGCAACCGGGCAAATGCACCTAGAAAACTTATGCTTTGACCTGAGGGCCAAGTCGCGAGCCGTTTCCAACAGGCTCTTGTTGGTCAGGTTTGTGAATGGGACGCCTGTGCTTTCGTGTGTATTGTAATGTTCGTAATGTAAGCTTTGCCAGATAATTGCGCAGGCTACCCGGGTCTTCCGCTTGATTCCGGTGGTTGTTGTGGTTGTCGTTGTCACGCAATTTGCAAAACCTGATGTACTTACCGCACCACCGCTTTCTGCTTTCTGCCCGCGTCCTAGGCCGAAGTCTTGCGGCTGGACGTAGCAGCGGAGCCGTCACCGAGCCAGCGGCGCCTGGAGGCCCAGCTGCCTGACTTTTAAACATTCGTCTTTCCGCCTTTTGCCACTCCCCCCTGTTTGTAAACGAATTGAAATCTCATCCATCGCCTGCGAACCCTTGCTTATCAAACGGCTCTTACAAATATTTTGTTAGCAGGTCCCCTGAACTGCTCAGCAAGGGTTGCGAACCAAAGCCATCCCTGATTAAGCCCTTGTACTCCACCTGAGGCCATGCCAAGACGCTTCTCATAAAACATGTGTGTAAATGGGCAGTCTACGTAATCTCAGCCGCCCCATCCTTGCTAAGCAAGCATGACTTGACAAAAGTAAATGCTCGAGGCATGCGGGCCAGACGTAGTCTGGATAAATGAAAGCCTCCGGGCTTGATCAATTTAGAGATTGCAGCTCGTTTCCTGTGTCTGCATCTTTCCATGCTGGAAAATGCTTTGGGTTGCAGGGCAGAGCTAGTTTCTAGAGAAACAAGCATCTACGAGATGATAGGGCCGGATATGGCAGGCAGTGGTGCCGTACGGCCGGGATGGTCGGAAGTCCGCCACAGAGCAGCTGCACCTGGACCTCCGTGTTGGCAGCACCAAGTCTGCAACCAAACCCTCTCAAATCTAAGCTTGTGATACTGGGAGACCCCAACTCCGGCACCTTTTGTTCTACTCAAGTTTGCAAATCATGCTAGTAGACTGACTGCAGGCAGTTCAGCCCATGATAGAAGAAGTGTGATAATTGGTACGAGCGCATACGAAGTAACATCATAAATCCTTGAGGTGACCAAGCTCCTGAAGCTCTAAAACCCAAAGTCTTTTTGACCCCTTGCAGCCAACCAACACTATCGTAGCCAAACCGCACCAGAGGGGTGAAAACACAAGCTCGGCTGCGCAGGATGCCAGGTTTGAGGGGACACGTTCTCAAGCCTTATTTGCATGTGGTGCTCTTAAGGTTTGGTCGGGATGTTTTTTTGCCTAAGAAGCCAGCTGCCAGGCAAGCTTCGCGTGGTTGATCAGCCTGATTGGGATCATGCAACTTAGCATCACATATGTTGGTGTGCATCGCCTGCAGCATTCATCTTAATGCGATATTCCTAGACTTGGGCATCCTGAATTTGAGACCTGGGCCGAGATCCCTGCCGCAACCAACATCACATTACAGATGGCAAGCAGTCACACAGCCAAAGCCTAGGCGAAGTATGGGGGCGTTTGCGAAGTGGTCGAGGCACCGAAGGACTCAAGTGTATTGTAACCGCTGTGTATGGAAGACTGCCCCCGCGTGACAGGTTTGATGGTGGCTCAAACTCTAGAGTCCTAGCAAGCATTCAAGCTGCCATCAAATCCGTGCTGTCAGATCACACCTTGACCTACCATGGTAGAGTGGCACATCATAACTAAGCTGGAGCAGATGCTGGTGACACTCTTGCATTTTGAGGGAGGCTGCAATGTCCTCAGCCTTGCGTCCAACCCCAAGGTAATGGGTTGCAGATAAGCAAAAGTGGAAAAACTCCCAGAGCAAACAACAAAGGAGAGACATGGCTGAGTGAGAATCCTGCTATACTTCCAGTGCAGGATGATTTGAACCAGTCCCCTTGGTACAGTTCCAAGGCATGTCCAGAATACAACTATTTGGATTGGGCCTTGAGTCTCTACTGTCAGTGTGGATGGAAACTTTGCATCACCTTTGTTACTATACCCTGACACTGAAATGTCAGTATTTTGGAGTTCTCATCTAAAGTGGGAACACACTTTCTCTCCTTGACATCGGAAGATTCCGCACAATGCAGCGCCAGGTTGCCAGCACTGTGCTTGGCATTCAGGATGCATGTCATTTCCCTTAGTCAGGCTTTGCTTTAATTGTCTCCAAAAAGTGTCCATCGGTGAGAGATTCTAGCTGACTAGCTACTACTGAGGGTAGATAAACTGGCCTTCTGGTAACAAGTGTCAGGAGCTGGCCCAGCAGGGGCATGTGCAGCTGCTGTTCACCGGTGATGGCTTGAAGAAGCAAGTCACGCGCTTTCTTGGTGGCTGGTGGATCGAGGCCGCAATCAAGGGCCTTTTGGCTTTGAAAACCGCCGCGCAATCGTCCGGGATTGGGAGTTTGCAAGAGTTTGCTTGAAAGTCTGGCCAGGCAAGTTTGACTTGTGTCTCGTGCCTTCGTCGATATGGGCTTGGACCATCAACTCCATCTCGTGTGCCGAGGCGAGGTCGAGAAGATTCCAGCACCTTGTCCTCAAAGGGAAAGCGTCAACCATGCCCCGAAGCTTTTACTCCGAGCTGCGATGCCAAAGAACTTTAAACCTCCCACTTCTTTCAGGTCGTGCCTGCCGCATGAGGCTGCCCAGTAGCAATTCGTTCAGCTGCTCCCTGCTCCATGTTTGATTGGCAGCAGGGATCGCATTTCACACTTGAAGCCATAGATGTCTGGAAAGGCATGCCGGATAATTCGAGTTCAGCTTTCACCCGTGTACTCGTGAGGGTGCCATGTACAGTTTGGCACCTGTAACTCCGGCTATGGTGATTCTGGGATGTGCGCAGACATCAAAAGAGACCCGCCGATACAATAGCAACTTGGTAAGCCCTGGCATTCAAACGTTGAACCTGTCTGGATGCAACATGTCTTGAGGAGTCTTTCTTCCCACCGAAAGGTCTCGCCCCACAGATGTAGGTTCGCACAATCAGTTTGGAATTGGCATCCTATGCCAAGCGCATCTTGAGCTCCAAGTGTCCCTCGGAGCTTAAACACCATTTCGTCATGTCCGGCTTGAAGAATTAGTGAGGCTGAACGATGGAACCCTTCAACCATTGTTCTATCAGCAGTATGCAAGTCCTGCTTGATCCAGGTCCCACAACGGCTGTGTAGCAAAACCAAAGACCTTCAAGTTGGATAACGCAAAGTTGTGGAGGCCCCGAGGAGCCCGGCACCACCCTGGCTCGCGGCGGCATCCTCCCAGGGGGCCACTCAGGGTTTGGTCTCGGATGAATGGCTCGAGGGTTTGTGTTTGGGGATTTCAAGAGATGGTGACATTGTTCTATTGTGACGTGGTGGTTTTACGGCGGAAGCGGCAAATCTTGTAACATTCCTATGCAAGTAATGCTGGTGCGAGATGAAAACTTGAGTGTTTGTGCGGCATTCTGGTTCTGTCGGAGTTCCCAAGCCAGGAAGCCATATCACATATGCTCTGCTTGCACTGCCTTGCATTACATCCTGCTGAGAAAATGGGGCAGGCATGTGCCTTTGCAGGTATCTTTCGAGGAGGCATCTGCGCCTCCCTGGCTGCGGGCAGCTGTGGAACAAGGCTTGGAAAAGAGGACTGTTCCTCGGAAGGCTGTGCACGTTCCTGTGTCGATTCAGCAAAGGGACGTCCGCTGAACATGAAGAAAGGTGTGGTGAGGTGTGGGCAGTCTATTGGCACAATGCCAGGGAGGACTCGCTACTTACTGCAGACGTTAACAAGCACGCCCGCGTTCATGGACCCTCCCAACATACAGTGTGAGCTTGTTGCTGTGATTTGCGTGTGCCGGTCGGAGACAACTGCGGCAGGCGTCGTCTTCTACGACCCTGAGGGAAGAAACTTGTCAAGGTCATTTAGGAGATTGTCAGGTCCGAAGTTTCAAGTACCCACTCAACACAAGATCCCCAAGAGAAAAAGATCACCAGCTAGGCACGTGAGAGACACTACAGTGGTCATCTTCGTGGAAGGTCTAAGAACGGGGTGGCCTTTGTCATGTAAGTGTATCAGTTTTGATGCTGGTCTTGCGGTCCAAGCACGGAACGAAAATGGTTCCTGGTTCCTTCAGCAAGCCGTGATCAACAACTCTAGCCTCCGCCGCTGCTCATGGGCTCAGGGCGCAGATGCCTGGGTAAACTCTGCCAGTTTTGCCTCAATGAGGCCTCCGGTAATGTACTTTTTCCTCGTTGGTTTGTGGACTTCTGCCACACCTGTCGATGGCTTCAGCGCAAGAAGCCTCACTAGCATAACGCACCAGCGGCTGGTGGACAAGGAGCTTGCTTCTTGTTATTGATTCTTCAAAACCCTCACTTGTTTTGGTTTGATCATTTTGTTTCATTTTCGCCGGGGTTCAGCGAGGAGGAGTGGGGAGCTCTCTCAGATGTTCTGCAGTCTGCGGGGGATGCGATATCTTCTGCAGCGCATGATCTTGCGCCTGGGAAGCAGACAGGAGGGCCTCCGACAAACAGCAGATAGTAGGTTAGGTCATCTGCCATGTTCTAGAAGCCAGAGTCTCTCGGTTGCCTGAAGGTCGGCTCTGTGACCGAATCAGCAGCCAAGGCCCTGCTAGGCCAGCAAGCTAGGACGTTTGCGTGCGGTTGCGTATCGGCAGCCTTGCATGTTCGTTGCTGATGTAATCGTCTTGCAATTCCATCTGCGTGAGCTCACATTTTACCCAGCAGTTCTCACCAACAGTTGAGCATTTGACCTTTGTATTTGCTGGCCACCAGGTGATCGGGCCGTGGATTCGTTCGAGCTTCCGCCCCCCAACACCTCAGAGATCAACAAAGAGGCCATTGAATTCTAGAGATTCTAAGATGCTGCTAAGTTTGCCTTGCTAATCTAATCAATGAATGCGCATCCACCCCAGATGCAACAGCATCAGCAGATATCGTCATGCCTTACAGCATCACTGAGTTGCCCAGACCATCTGTTCAGGTGGTTATGTGCGCCATAGCTCTTATTGGCGTGCTTGGCGTGGGCTATGCAGCTGATATGCAGCCCAGCTGTAAAATGGCCTAGCAGGCCTAGCATAAGGGGTGATCCATTGCGTGCCCTTAGCTGGTACCTTTCCTCATTCGAGAAGACAAGCATGAACTTTTCTTTGCCGTCAGGCTCCTCCCACCCGGGAAGGTGGCCACGCGGCCCTCTTATACCTGCATTGCGACCCTGCTGGGCAGCTACTCCATTCTAATTCCAGGACATCTAGACAAGCCATAGCCCACCACCCAAGCACATGTCCGGCTGACTTTGAGTATGGTGAGCGAGCTGTCGATGGCAGCTTTGGGATTTGAGATCCGTTACATCTTGCAATGCATCACCAGCACTACGCATGATTTACCCGACTTGGCCCTGCCAGGATTAGTGTCGAACTTGTTCCAGTTCTTGCTGGGTGTGCACCTGCTGGGCGTCAAAGTCCTGCTGACAGAGGTGGGGTTGAGCCAGTATTTTCCTGGCAGTAGCTCAGGAGAGGTCAAAGAGTGGGGCAACAGAGGCACAAGGTGAGGGGGGCTCCGAGCCAGACGGTCTAAGCGTGACCACCTGATGGTCGAGGGCAGGGTGTGTGTGAAAAGCGGTGAACTGCGTAACGTGAATCAGAACGAAGTTAGGACCAGGAATAACATGAAACTTGGGAAGTGGAAAACGGAACTTCGGCTAGCCGCTGCGAAGCCAGAAATTCTTGAAATCGCGAACCTCAAGCAAAGCGCATCAGCGGCACTTCCTGTTTTCTGTTGCAGCTTTCGCGACGAACTGAGATGGTACCGTGTGAGCCCTAAAGCCTCCGTCATTCCGCCGCTTGACGTTTGCCACTTCTTGCAGCGCTGCACTTGCACTTTTTCATCGTAAGATGCCCTGACGCAAGATATGGGAGTTGCGTTTTGTTCTGGGAAAAGGCAATCTTAATGGGCTGTTCCAAGTGGAGATGATGGGCGGTTTGGTGGACTGTCTGCTGAGGAAGTCCACGGAGGGTGATTCGGAGGTATTGCTAGTTTGATTCCTGGGACTCACAGAGCTTTTTGCTTTGTCTCAGGGGTACATTTTGGAAGAGTCCTGCAGGAGAGACGTGGAACCGGTAAGAGAAAGGAGTATCACTGACACTGTAGAAAAGGATTTCTGCATGGGAGCGAAACCATTCAAGACGAAACCTGGGCAGGAGAATGGCAAGCCAGCCGCGATTTCTGAATCGTCTTTTGGACTTGTGCATCTCTTGTGCAAGACGCACGGCTACGTTGGCGCAGTGCTGCCGCCTGGCTCCATTTTTGACTTGCCTTATCCTATGCTGGAACAGGGAGGCAAGGGGTAATCATGTTTGAGAAGCTCTCAAGTGTCAGGGTGGTCCTATATGCCATGGTAATCCCGTCAGTCAAGCTCATCGCATTGATCTTGGCAGAAATCTGGCGGGACAGCGAGGTCACAGGGAGTCCAAAATGCTGCATCGAACTCCAATGCAGACGCTTGACCAGGACCCCAGGAAAGTCCAGAGATCTAAGCGCTTCATCCAGGCTGGAGCTGCCCTTCCCTACTTTCCTCGTTCCCTGCCCGCCTGCCTGCCTCCATGACACTTGCTCTCTGGTGCGTACGCAGGTGGTGCAGATCATCAGCAAGTGGGCATGCCCTGACATGTTCGCATACATCCTCCTGCTGCTCCCGGATTTGAATGAGCTCTTAATGGCTGTGTGTGCGTGACATCATCTCTCATTGCATGAGTGCATGCTAACACGAGCCTATACGCCTTCTCAGCACTATTGTCGCATTCCTTTCTGCAACTGGCAATGAAGCAAACCTTTCAACCAAGACTGTCGTCCTCGTGAATGCGTTACCACTTTTCTGTGTACAGAGGATGAAACCACAAAAACACTGTTGGTCGCCAAATGACAACTCCTGGGAGGCTTCCGGCATTCATTGCTTTGAAGCGAGGTATCTCTTCCGGCACCTGGATGGTCAGGGTGGCATCGTGAAAGCACCTGCGCGTTTGGGCATCGGCTGCTGGATTAGGAAATCTGAAGAGGTATGCCGCATGCGAGTTGAAGTTTCGCATAGATCACCTAGTTTCGAGTCAGGCTTTGCTTGCTTTAGCATCTTCTGCGTCTTCTCTACCTTCTCGACCCTCATGATCAAGGTGCCTGCCCAGCAGGCTGAGGCATCAGGTCTGCGTTTGGATTTTTATCCTGTGATGTCTCACTTGCGGGCAGCTTGAGGTACCTGAGACTTCAGAGTCCATGAGCGATGATGCAGCACGCCCTGTGCTCGTACGCTGGTTCGGAACGGAGACTCGGCAGCCATCTGCAGCCGTTAGACCGATTCGGGCTTATGACCGCATGGGAGCATGAGTGCATGAGAAGAACTAGACAGGTGCCTGCTGCAAGTTTCGTGCTTTCAGTTGCCGAAGGAAAACATTCTGTTGGCGACCGCCGCGCTGATAGTCACGTCCCGTGGACTATTAGATCGGTGCTAGGCCATGGCCGCTATCCTGCACATTCCAAGTGCCACACCAGGTTTCTGACCCTTTTCGGCCTGGGCGTCACAACGCCAGTCATGGTGCTATATTTGGACTCGAACCTCTTGATCCAGTGTCCTGCTCTTGCATAGATTGTTGGACTTGTGACTTATTTGTGGGTGTGATTTGACTGGGTTCCGCAGCCCGTGCTCATACATGATTTGTTGCTACAATTGCTGCAGTCTTGGGAGGGGAGCCTGGCTTTGCTACCGATTTGCAGTTTGTATCTATGAGGCCCAATGGACCCCTGGACCCATCCATGCAGCCCCTCATCGATTCGCTGCACATCGAGGATTTGGTCAATTCTGAGGCAGAAGTTCAGAAGAGAGTCTTCAGCAGTTTTCTGGATTGCGCATCATCATCTGGTATCTTTTGGGTGTCAGATGCATCTTGCTGTAGAGGCGTAGGGTTCCTTTGAACAGACACAGTCCGCATGGAAATCATTGATGCGCACAGGTGACCGTCTTGAAGGCAACAGGTGCGCTTGCCAACTACATCGCCTCAGGGGAGCTGAATGATATCTTTGCTGCTTGGGCTGAGAACCTGGGGTACTTGGAGGGATGAAGCAGAAAGAGACATGTTGCAAGGTGCTGTTTTGTTGTGTTTTTCCCTTGAGGTGTTGACTTTTCATTGTTCACACAAGAAGCTTGTGTGACTGACGTTCCCCGAAAACGTTGCAAAATTGCAGCTGCTCACTTTCACGTGAGCAAAGTCCTTTGTCTCAGCCTTGGATGCAAGGCTGTGGTGATGTTGACTGTCTTCGTGATGGCCCTGCCAATTATCAACATGTTCTGCCTGCTGGCTGGGGCTTGGCAAATGCGCTCCAAGGAGCCAGATACCGAAGCGGCCTGGCAGCTGCTCGGATAAAGCTTAGGTCAGCTCTGCTTCTTGTGCTTTGCCTTTTTGCTGGCAACAGCAACTGCTGCTGCTGCTGCTGCTGCTGCTGCTGCTGCTGACAAAGCAGGTTCTGGAGCAAAACGTGTTTCTCGAATAGCTGAGTAGGGCTTCCTTCCAGATTTGTAGTGGCTTGGCTTCATGTCTTGCAGACCCAAGCTGTGAAACAGGTATCTTCGTCATTCGCAGTGGCTGAAGCACATATCCATGCTGGACGTTTTCGTCATGGGCATCATCGTGATAACGGCAGCAGGTAGCGCCTACTCTGAAGAAGGCCGAACTGGGGCTTTGTGTGCTGTGTGGCCTTCGGGTATGGATTCTCACTGGGATCGAGCATCTCTTGTAGCAGGAGTTTTGTTCGGAGTCATGGTGGGCCTCTGGGTTCTCCTGCTGGCTGAAGTCACGCACTACTTCACACATTACCAGGCCGGGCGGGGTGTGTGTATGTGTGGCTCTAAGTATTCTCCTGTCGCTCAACATGACAGATGGAGTCCAGTTTGTGGCAAGCCGTGAGGTGCATGATACATACACCTACCTTGTCAGCCGCGAGAAGAAGTGAATTAATGGAATGGCTGCTGCCAATGAGTGAGGGCCAGTGGCTGTTTCGATGCGAATACAAATTTGGCTGAAGCAGTTTGGCTCTTTGATTCTTGAAGCGTGTCTTCATCGACGGCCAGCTTGCATGGCTTGTAGCAGAAGTCCGCTTGCTCTGCTCCTGGCTGCGCCTAGACACCGGCGGTATCGCCAATTTGTCATGCATTTTCATGCTTCATTCTGCATACGTGTTTCGAGTTCCAACTTGCTGGAAAAAAATGTTCGGGAAGCTCTAGCCATCGCAAGATTTGCTATGCTGAGAAGCTGCACAGAAGTAGGCGACATGAATTCCAGAGCCACCAAGACAGATGCTGCAGGATAATGAAGATCCCCAAGCTTCATTAATCGCACAAGTATACACACACATATATGCCCTCTGGCCGGCATTTTTCTATAGCTGAGGAGAGATTGAGGTTCCTGCCAGCAAAGTTCCGGCCTTCACTGAAGGCTTGGACAAGGCCAGGGAGGGTGTTAATGCTTGCGACACTCATGTGGCTAACATGCTGGCATTGCAGGTACGTGCCTTTGAGCAATCCTGGAGCGTCAAAAGCGTTGCAGATGTTGGCCAAGCAATAGAAGGCTTGGACATGCAAATTCGTTGCATTTTCTATGACCCTTTCCAGTGTCTCAGCAGGCGGCGGGGGTTGGGGCGGTGCATGGTAAAGCGAGGCTTCAGAGTCGCAATTATTTGAATCAGATGTCTGGACAGGTCAGCATGCCTCCTCAAGCCAGCCGCAAGCACCAGACGCAAAGCCGGCGAAGGCAAGTTCGTGTTTGCCAGTGAGCACTCATTCAGCAGCCGCGGCTTCAGGAGTCAGAATGCTCTGGCACCCTGCCGCCTAAGTGCAGGTAGATGTGGACCGCTCCGCGCTTCGTTTTCAACAGCACTGTTGAACTCTGGTGTCGTCTCCCAGCAAGAGCGTGAGTGCCGGTGATATCTACAGTATTTTACAGTGTCTTGTTTGCCCGCAAAACTCCTTGACGCCGGGTAAACGAGTTAGCCTGAGATGAGAGGTAGAAGTCCTCTCAGTTGGCAAGGCTGCATCCATGGGGGCTCATCTCAAGGAAGCCGCACAGGGGACGCGTCGTCGTTCTGTGATCTCAAAGTCAAGTAACTCTGTTTCGCTTTGTTTTTCCCTCTTGCTGTTATCCTTCTATTTTTTTCCTCACATTTTCCTCTCTCTTTGTCTCTCCCTTGTTCTCCATGAGAGCTTTCTGATTTAGATGCTAATCGAAAGTTTTGTTCATCCAGATGACGTCGGTAGCGGATTGAAGGCCTGGACCTCGCCAGTTTCGGCCAGGGTGCGAGGACACTTCCACACGCGGCGCAATTCTAGATGGTATGGGTTTGGGCTAAGGCTTCGTTCTATTCCAGAGTTAGCAACAATGATGTGTGGCGAAGGGCTCAATACCCACAAA